ATTCCCCAGCCAGCCATGCTGGCTGGGGAATTCTGGGAGTTGAAATCCACACATCTTAAAGTTGCCGAGGTTGAGAAACACTGGCTCACATTATGACTTTGCCTGCATGATTTATTGCTATTGTGCAGGACAATCGGTATGCACCTAGGACCTGTACAACTGCATTTCTTCAGTACATATGAATGGTCTGTCCTATTTCTTTCACCTCTTAGTCTGGTCTTTAAATCTAGCTCAAAACTCCCAACTATTCCTCCTATGCTATATTTCCAAATACTCCAAACGGTTTACAATGACACTGATGGCTTTTTCTGGCTATTTGCAACCCTTTAATTCCAGGCTGGCATACAGCATCTTGTCCATTCCCATTGGATGACAACTTGTGTAGCGGCTTTGACGCTACACATCCCAAAACTTTGGGGAGAGGGCAGACGCAGTTCTTGGAGCTCAGTGGATGCATCCTTGTACGAAGCCATGGCTTCATGAGGTTTACACCACTTGCTGAGCGATAAACCATAGTTTGTTAACCCCCACGGCTCACCCAAGCGAATCACCTTAGGCATGATGGGTGAGTCAGATTTTTTAATTAAAAAAAAATCATGGTGGAGACTACTCACCCAGTTTTAAGTTCTGACAAGCTTGGCAACTCTTGTCTTTCAGTGCACATCTGGAGACTTGCAGCAACTTTCTGTCTAGTTACTGTCTATCTTGACAATCATTCTTATCTATCTGGTCTGCTGTTCGGAAATGCTTGCAGAGGGGCTAAGGTCCTATCAAGTCACTGCCCTGAAGAACAGAGTCCTTCTCTGTCTGGTGAGAAGTGAATTTTCTCTGAATTCAATGGGGCATGGAGTCAGGGGACAAGCATAGTGAATTTTGTTCTGCTATAGCCCCATATTCAATGTTTTGGATACAGCTTTCTTTCTTTCTTTCTTCCTTTCCTTCCTTTCCTTCTTTCCTTCTTTCTTTCTTTCTTTTTCTTCCTTTCTTCCTTCCTTCCTTTCTTTCTTCCTTTTCTTCCTTCCTTTCTTTTTCTTCCTTTCTTCCTTTCTTCCTTTCCTCCTTTCCTCCTTTCCTCCTTCCTTCCTTCCTTCCTTCCTTCCTTTCTTTCTATTTATTGAGAATGTTCCTCTAATAAAAGACAAATCCAAAGAAAGAAAGAAAAAGAAAACAAAGAAAAACCAAAAAATGCAAGAAAAGAAAAAGAAAACA